TCATTACTTCTGTTCAGTTCTATCCACATGTACATACCTACTGTCACTGAACTCAGCTTGTGTGTTTTGTCTAGCGGGAAAGGTGGTTTGTTTTTAGGATTCTAATTGAGACATTTTATTGTGTTGTCCTGACCGGCATGGTGTGATTCAGTCAAACCCCCAAAGCTGGAAGTGAATGACAACAAATTAATTGGTTGTCTGTTTTTATTCTGTGTTGATTTTAGCACAGTTTCCTTGTATATCAATCTTGGCTCAACATAAATTTAAAACATAAGGTGTATATACAAGATTTTTGTGCCTTAATAATGATAGAACTTCACTGACTGAAAATTTAATACATTTAAAAGTGTTGCCTATAGTGTTTAGGCCTACTCGTATTCTCTGGCTAGAAGCTCTGTAGTTTTTGATGTGGGAAATGATGACACATGCATAAAAGGGCCAAAGGACAAAATAAGCAAAGGCAGAAGTCCCAGGACTGGGTGAGAGATGGAACAATACTTGCACTAACTTGAACAGGACCTGATCAAAACAGAAAGAAAACTGCTCCTCCAGGCTAGTTAGCCTTGGTCTTTTTTATAACTTACAGACATCTTCTGTTCAATAAATGTTTAAAAAGAAAATATGGTTAAAGTGTATTTATTCCAATTTTCACAAGGAAATTGTGGATGTTATAATAAATCCCTTAGGATCCAGAGAAAAGCTAGGCTTCATGACTGCCAGTTAAGGATGCACATGAGAGAAGAACTACCATTGGGGAAAGTGCCCTCCAGGGCAAACTCGTAACGTTTTCAGCAGTGGTTTGCAAGTTGTATCCACAATCTGCTGGAATTTAGGAAAAGAACAGCTGGATCATAACTTGAAAAAAAAATTCCACCAGGTATTCAACCTTACACATGTATGAAATGTTAAATACTCCAGCTATTTGGTGTTTTAATCAGATGTACATACTCACTGTTTGGCATCAATCTACATATTTAAAGAAATCTCTATTTTGTGAATCTAATGTAGTACAGACACAATAGTGGTTTAAATTTACCCACTACCAGTGTGTTGTGGTGTTGTGCTATAAGAAACTGGACCACAACAGCCTCTTGTGTTGATTTATCTGCCCATGATTACTGGGTCCCTTTACCAATTGTCATCGGTGCTATACTGACCCAGTGCTGTGTCAGTTTAATCCCAGTGATTTTGTCCTCCCACAGTACATTTTTCCTTCTTTGTTTATCCATCACAGGCTAGAGAAAGGAGTTAAGTGTTTGAAGACGAGACTTTTGCTTCTAATTAGCTAACAGAGCCATATTACAACTAGTCAGTCCTTTTCGGCAAGAAATTACAGTGTATTATCATCACTTAACCTCACAGTCATACGTAATTGTTGTGAAGCCCGTGAACCGGCTGTCCCAGGTCCTGTCAGCTTCTGTTATTTTGACGGAGAGCCAAGGAGACAGACAAACGTACAACCCCCAGCACTCTCCTAGCCCAGCTCTCAGCCTCCTTTTGTCTGCCTGTCCTGTAGCATTACCTCTGTGGCTGTAGTCTCCTAATTGCTCTGGACCCTGCAGAGAAGGGAGACTAGTCAGATGAATTTCTTTTTCTCTGCTTTTCTCCCTCACTTTTCTATGTCTGTCTTTTACTCAGACTTGCAGTTAAAGTGTGCTCCTTTAGCTAAGAGGTTCTTGTACTCTTTTGGCCTCCCATCAAAATTGGTAACCTGTTCGCATCTGGTTCTGCTGCAGTGATGGTGTCTCTATAGTAGACATCCCTTGCAGTAGTTGGCACACAGTAATGGAGATACGGTGGTCCTGTAGATCTTTGTTTCCTGCCCTTGTTTGGTAAAGGAGGCTCTGCTCCTTAGTTGGAAGAAAGTGTTTTTGTGAAGGTTTTCTTTTATTATTTGGATTAGTCACATCACACTGACGCCACTGGCCCTGTAGTGTATTGCCACAATTGTTTTTGGCACTGTCCTGTTCTTGTAGATATTCCAAGTATTTTCTCAGTGAAATCCCTAAGTTGGCTATCTCTTCTCTTCTCTTAGGCACCTCTGCAGCCACCCCCGGGGTCCTCGGCCTCAGTGGTGGCAGGGGGGAGCGGCAGCGTCAGGGACACCCCAGTCACTGAAACTAACCTACCCAGAAACTCTGGACCGCATCAAGGAAGAGTTTCAGTTTCTCCAGACCCAGTACCACAGGTGGGTGTGTGGGGGGAGTTTACTGTGTGCTGGAGTTTCCCCTCCAGTGTTTGTCTGTTACTGGGGATTCAGACCAAAATCAGCACAGTCTCTTAAAAAGAGGGGGGTTGTGTTGGTGTGAGTGTGCTTCAGGTGGATGTGAGATGAACTATGTAACGAGGAAGGCCAGTCATTAGACAACAAAACACTTGTCTATAACAGGAATTACAACTATGTAAAGTTAGCCCAGCACTGTGCTCGGTTTCTCACTGCGAGGATTTCCTTATTCATATTACAGAGGTTACCTGCTAGGTCACCTTTGACTGATCGGTGTGTTGCTGGATGACTTTGCATTACACTGTGGCAAATATTGAGCCAAGTTCAACACTTGTCCAAGTAATACCCTGTTTTTCCTTGAATGTGTGCATGCCTGCACAGTTTCCTGGACCAACAGATGTATTCATTTATGCTTTTTTTTTTTTTCTTGAAGAAAGGAGGATGTATGCATCAGCTCAGGTATATAATAAGTATGCATATTGCCCTCTTTACATGACTGTGTGGTGTGCTTGATATGCAGGAATGTGCCCAGAATGCCTTCGAATGTGGGATTTGGGCTGGCTGTGCAGTTCCAGCCCCCCTTTCTATTTCTCCTTCTTCTCCACTCTCTCTGTTCTTGGCACACCTTCATAGGGTCCCCACCCACCCCCTCATTCTACTCCTCTCATTCTGCTTTGATATAGCCGGCCAGAATCTCCCCTCCCTCCCTTCCAGTTACCCTTCAAATTTCTTTTATACCCCCCACACCACACTCTGGTTAACAGGCCCTCTTACCCCTGTGGTGACTGCTGCTTCCCTGTACACACAAAGGCTAGTGTGTGTGTGTGTGTGTGTGTGTGTGTCCGTGTCCAGCCCCATCTCTCTGTCTGTTCTGGTCCACATAAGCCCGGAACTCAGTCCAGAAACACACAATACTGTCAGTGGTGGAAGAAGTACTCAGATCCTTAAGTAAAAGTAGCAATACAACAGCGTAAAAATACTTTGTTACAAATAAGTCCTGCATTCAAAATCTTACTTAAGTAAAAATGCAAAAGTATGAGTGTAACCGGTCGCCTTTGAGTCTCTAATCTGTCCTCTTAGTCCCCGCCATCTTGCCTGTCCCTCTGGTAACTGGCCGTACTGCGATGTGTTTGCTTGGGACACATGGACCGACACATTTGCTATTCCACGGGGCCCTTTATTGCTGGTCACAGAGGAAAAAAAACATAGAACAGATAGCCTCCAGTGAGTGCTCAGCTCGCTCCTCTTTCCACTCGACACCATGCAGGAAAGAGAGCGGAAGAAATGCGCAGGGTGATAACACACAAACTATTATACGTAACTTGGACATACCTGGTCACAGAGGAAAAAAAAATCATACAACAGGTAGCCTCCAGTGAGTGCTCAGCTCGCTCCTAAACAAAAGCACACAACAAGTTTACCAATGCGACCCAGGGTGGGCGATAAAAGTAAAATAGTCACAAATGGATGGCTCGCTCACCTCTTTCCACTCGACACCATGCAGGAAAGAGAGCGGAAGAGGTGCGCGACCCCTCTTTATACCCGGCTACCAACAAAGAAAAGCATGGCTCAGCTGCGAGCCCTAGTGGAGTGGAGGTATCCCTGACCAGGCATGTGAATTAACTTGCACATGAACCAAAACGTTTTGTGTAATTATTACATCCCAGTTACATTCTGTGTAATTATTATATCCCGGTTACATTCTGTGTACAAAACAAAGTACTAAAAAGTACTCATTATGCAGAATGGCACATTTCACATTCCTGTATATTATATTATTGTGTTATAAATACTCATGCATTATTGCGTACGTTGCATTTAATATTGTAGCTGGTAAAGGGGGAGCTAGTTTTATGTTGTTGTTTTTTTTCTGTTGGTTAATCTGTCGACTATTTTACTGATTACCGGTAGTCAATTTTCCTACAAAAACATACTTCCTAACAAAAAGACACACACAAACCACAGAATGTGTAAAACAAGACACGCGCTCTGGTACCATTGATCATAGTAGAATAAGCCTAAACATTTAATCAGTCAGAATTCTCACAGCAGACTATTATGGTTTTAGGTCAAAGGTCAAAGTGTTTATTTGTCATATGCACAGTTAGGAAGCGTGTTTTCCTGTACAACGAAATTCTTACTTTGCCGTCCACATGAATGCCACAAAATACAAATGAAATATAAAGTAGATAAATAAGTAACACAAAATCTAAGGCACTTTAAGCAGCAAATGCAGCAATATAATAAAAAT